GTCTCCAATGAAGCTGCAAACCTTGGTTTACATTTATCTGTTTTAGTATCTAAGTGGGAAACGTTTTACTCGATAAATTAGGTCATTTAAAAATAGTTCATTGTAAATTGCAGACTCTAAAAAGAATAAATAAACCTGCTAAAGGAGCAACTACTCAGAGGAGTAATTAAGCCAAAACCGTATAAATATTATTTACGTTTTATAGGAAAGATAAAAACTATTGTTTGTCTGCTTCATCCAGAGCCCTTAGCGGCATTTCTGAAGTTTAAAGTTAGTTTTTTTAAGACGTTTTTGAAATTTTCAATGAATTTTGTCTTATTCAAGGTGTTTACTGAGACTTACTTTAGATCATAAAATATGAAGAAATCAACAAATTATTATAATGAAGACATGGATGGAAATCTGATCTTAATTATCAAATTTTTTCCCAAAAAAAAAAATCCTACAGCTCTCAAGAAAATCCACAATAAATACATCTTAAATAGCGACATTTATCAAAGTATAGTAAATAATTGCATCAATAACATTATATGTTTTAAATCAAACAAATAAAATACATTTCAAATCTTGCAAATATATATATGTAGAGTAAACAGAGGTTGAGCGCAGCGTCAAGGTTTCCCTGTGTGAAATCCAGCCATGCTGCTTTCTGTTGGATGTAAAGAAAAGCAGAGAGCCGTCTCAAAGAGCTGGGACCATGTGAAGTGCAAACATGGCTGCTAAGAGCTGGAATCAATCACAGCTCTGAGACGAGGTGACAATAGAGGCGGCCGTTTGCTATAGGTGAGCTATAGCTGCCCGGCGCTATGGCGGATATGAAGGACACAAAGTGGAAGAATCAATCTTCTAGGTTTTATGCTAAAGTTTACTAAAGAGGATATCGTCAGAAGCCTAAAGAAGAAACTGTGCGAAGGCCTCCACCCACGAGTGGAAGAATGAGACAAAATGAACCGGACCGACTCGCTTTGTTTACCTTAACTGGGAAAAAAAAGAGAAGAAAATCAGCAAATAATGAAAAGCATAGAGAATAATACATTATTTCTCAGACTAATTCAGACTGTCAGTGATGGAGAGAACCTTGACGTATATGAACATAAAATAAAACTTCATCAGTTTGTTGGATTGAGTCTGAACTGATGTGTGGAAACAAAAGACGAAAACTTCTTCATGTCTCGAGAGTTTTTTTTTCTTAGCTCGTTAAACCGCTTCAGTCTGTGGTTGGATTGATAAACTGATGCTTTTCGGATAAAACAGAACGACGTTTCTCTGCGCTCTTTCAGAACATGACGCTGGTTTTGGTCCAGATAAAAATATCAGAAGCTAGATGCGTCTAACAGTTCCAGCCTTGGATCTATGCTCAGTGTTTAACCTGACTGTTGGGTGCTTTGGTTACTGCCTAACAACACAAAGGCAAATCATGATGCTGCCATTTTTTAACACGTCCATAGAATGCTAAAATCTTTCAATAAAACCACACCTCACCATATTTGCCTACTTTAAATCATTTCAGTCTAATGCTACATCTTTGGCTGAATCCCAAACCGCTACCTGACCACTAGGGTTGGGAATTGAAAAGATTTTCACGATTCCGATTCCCTTTTCGATTTTATGAAACGATTCGATTCTT